AATAACCAATCAGAATTCATAAATTTCGATTGTCCTGGATCAGTCCAACATCAAAACAAAACACGTGCAAGAAGAAAAAAAGAGTAAAAAGCGAAAATACTCAAAAACTGGTGTTTGAATCGGCCTTTAAGCACTAACAAAAAGTGTCGGCAATGCAATTTTACATATAATATATAAAGCTAAAAACTCTAATATTAACCCTAACACGAACCCAAACCCAAACCCTAAACTAAAGCAAAAAAATATGCCACACCACGTGATGGTCACGTTACTGCAAAAGTGTCTAGACCCCTGGAGGGGCCTGACAGACTGGCAGTCCATCGGTTTGAGTTGCTTACCAAGATAGAATAACTTGAGCAACGAAAATTTTTTTGTCATACTTTAGGCTATACTTACAGACCAATTTAATATAAATATAAAGAAATGGCCTATCTTAAATACACCAACTATTATGGTCGCTAAATCAATGAATAAGAAATCAAATTAAAAGGTAATAAGTACACGTATTATTTATTTTTCGCAACGGCGGGAATAAGGTAATATAGGGGCCTTTCGGGTTCTCATATAGTCAGAGATATATCAACTTATTTCCCCAGTTGAAAATAAGGGAGTTGTTCTTTATTTTATATGATGCCACGATGGCGAATCAAATAATAACTCCGTACCATTCGAATCATTATTCGATTGGTACCAGAATCATCATAATTTATTCACACATTCACGAGATATCAAGAATGGATCAATTCAAACTCATCGTCCCGATAAAGAATTTGATCTATCCTCGATATCTCATGAATATGTGAATAAATTATTATGATTCTGGTACCAATCGAATAATGATTCGAATGGTATGGAGTTATTATTTGATTCGCCATCGTGGCATCATATAAAATAAAGAACAACTCCCTTATTTTCAACTGGGGGGGAAATAAGTTGGTATATCTCTGACTATATGAGAACCCGAAAGGCCCCTATATTACCTTATTCCCGCCGTTGCGAAAAATAAATAATACGTGTACTTATTACCTTTTAATTTGATTTCTTATTCATTGATTTAGCGACCATAATAGTTGGTGTATTTAAGATAGGCCATTTCTTTATATTTATATTAAATTGGTCTGTAAGTATAGCCTAAAGTATGACAAAAAAATTTTCGTTGCTCAAGTTATTCTATCTTGGTAAGCAACTCAAACCGATGGACTGCCAGTCTGTCCTAGGGCCTGTCTTTATTTGGACGGACTGAAAACAGTTTATTATTAAATCATTGCTATAGAATAAAATATAGTTTTAATTCTGTGATTTTTGAGGGCTGCGGAGCGGGCCTGTCTAATCTTTTATACTGTATGACGGTCCAAAAATACTATCGGCCTTAATATAGTTAGCATAAAATTATTGTGATGAACATATAGCTAATTTTTTGTGATTTTGTTGGATTTAGGTTTTGAGCACTATTATAGTTTACAGTATATACACAAGTATAGGCATCATACAACTTTGAGTTCAGATAAGCTAAAATTTATAATCAATATTTAGTATATAAATTTTCAGAAAATCAAGTTATAAAAAATATTAATTGAACCGACTTGAATAAAAATTGTTTATTGCCAAATCAGCAAGGACAATAAACTAATAAAGCCAAAAAAAGTGCATACATTGTTTCGAATACTTTGATTAACAAATTATAGTATGCTTTCCGCTGGTAGCAAATTTATACTTTTTGGCTCATGAATCCAAGAAAATTCGACTAGCTGAATCAGGAATTTATTCGAAATTATAAGAATAAAACAGAAAACTAAGCGAAAATATGCATTTTAAATTTACTTAAGTTAAAAACAAACTAATCGATACTTTTAGTTCCAGAAATCTAATCGCCAATCACTGGAAATGTTCTTATCTTCAATGAGTTTCAACAATATTTATCCGTTTTATTAGTTTTGTCGCCCTTTGCAGTTTCGTCACCTTTCGCTAGTACCATTACCCGCACCTAGTAGCGCCACCAAAATCAGTTACGTAATCGCTTTTTAAATTTCAATCTGCGCACAAGAATAATAAAATCACGAGTTCACAAGATTTTTGAAGAAATAATCGAAGTTATTATTATTATTATTATTATATTTATTCAATTTATTAGAATTTATTTAATTATCGCTGCAAGTTATACACTCAATTCAAATGTATAGAATGCATTTATATTGTAACGATTAATTTTTCCTGTGTCTCCTCACTTTCGTATTTGTTTAATTCTTTAAGTCGTCACTCACCTTCCATAATTGTGCCATTATAGTCATGTTAATCTTACCCTAGTAGTATTAGGCATTATTATGTATTATTGGTAGTTTTCATGCCAGAGCGTTTACGCTCATACGCGCTTGCATAAACTTGTGATCATTGCGCCTTGGGCAAATATGGAATCTACAGCGTAAGCGCTGGAGATCCTGATGTTGACCATCCGTAAAATTAGAATGTATATAAGAGTGTGTCTTCATCCTTAGTTGAGGATAACATTCGCTCTCCTAAAATTCCTCAATAAATAAAGGTCACATATATTCACACTCTTTTTTTTAATAAATGCCTAATTAATCATGAATATCCGAATACCATAATTTTATTACCCAATTCATGTGACCCTTCTAACGTCAACCATCGGAGTTAAACTCGGCACGACAATACCAAGCTCTCCCTTACGATGGTTACAATATCCAAATTCAATACAAGTATAAAGCTTCAAATTTGAATTTTTAATGCTACTAATAAAAGGTATTTTGTTATGTCCACTACAAGTTTTTGGAAGCTTTTTTGCTCGTTCAAAATCTTTAATGTCATCTACCATTTTTTTAAAATTCGATTCAATACTTCGAAGCCATTTTTTTTGTTTTGGATGATTATTAGACTTTTCAAGACAATCAAGAGCCTAAAATACAAAATTAATAAATATTTATTTACCGTATCCTGCCATGAATAAGCACACACCTTTTACAATTTTCATATCCAAGTTTCCCAAAATCTAGTGATCGAATCTGTATAATTTTGGTGTTATTCAAATCAGCTTATCAAAACGATTCGGATGATATAACTAGATCACGAGAAACTTGGATATGAAAATTGCAAAAGGTGGGTGCTTATTCACGGCAGGATATAGTAAACATGGAAATATAATGAAAAAAATTTTATACCTAATAAAGAGTTTTATTGTACTTAAAATTTCAGATTCGGATTCACTATCTTCAGTACTCGATTCTTCATTGTCTATATTTTGTATATTTTGGCTTTCTGAATTTACCAGATGTTAAATTAACTTGTGTGTAATTGATTAAGGTTGATATTCGAATATTTTCCTATAAAGTTTCTTTAGCTTCCGTAATTATATGATATTGAGAATCGCATTATATCTAAATTAATATACCGTAATATTAGATTTAGATATTTTAAACTATAATATAATGATAATGAACTTGCAAAAGCTTTATCTATGCTATTTACTTCTAATTCGTTAACTGTTTGGGAAATATCTAAACTATCTCAAGGTTCATATACATATTGCTTTCTCCCTCAATATCAATAAGTTTTCATAAACTATTTATTTCAAACTCTTCGGATTTTATAGCATTTTCTTTTTGCTTGCAAATATCATTTAAAATTTGATCCTCACGTTTCTGTTTTATGCTTCCATTTACATTGGTTGTACGCTTAAAACATGACTTTTGTTATTTTAAATGCAGAATTTGGATTCATAATTCGACAAGATGAATAAAGTTGTGTGTCCTATTTTAGGAAATATTTTGTATTACGATATTCATAGAAATAAAAAATTTCTATTGATATCTCGAGTTGAATATATACGAAAGGTCATAAACCAACTTTAGTTAGTGTCTACTTGATTAAACAGGTTTTCTTAAGGCCCCACCGAGGCTAGCAAAGTTAAATGAAAAATGTACCTCAAGTCTTCATGAATATTCAGTCAGCATTATTCTTACATATGGTATTAATCAAATGTCGTCATTATTGTGTTAATTTTATTGGCAATACATTTAAGCTCTGTTATACGAACTGATTTTGGTGGCGATACTAGTGGGTTAACATCGGAGCTAAATTGGATTAACATCCACAATTGCTCTCCTAACCGATGGTAACCCTATTGATTAAACCCTATTGAAGATTTAATACCCTATTGGTCCCCGATTGGTAACTATTGATTAAATAGTATTGGATAGTTAGTACCCTATTGGTACCCTATTGATACCCTATTGATACCCTATTGGTACCCTGCTGAGTATTATTTCCCTATTGATACCCTATTGACCTCCTTTGGTGCCATGATCTGGCAGCAATAGGGAGGCTCCCTGTTGATACTCATTTTACCTGTGATTAATGTGATCGATTATCCTTGTACTTTTATTAAACAAATCGGTTCTGAGTTACAAAATTTCAAGTTTTGCAAGGTTTCACCATACAGGCTTTTTTTCTTTTGCACGTGTTCGGATTCTATATCGGGCTGATCCAAAAAAATCCTTTTTAAGGGGACGGAGTCGGATCACGTGACTGTAATCCAATCAAATTGTGGAAAATTTAAAGCAAAAAAAAGTGTACTTATCCTTTGGAGTATTAATGAAAAATGCTGAGAAGGCAATTTTGCTACACAAAACGCCTAACCTAACTTATCCCTAGCCTAAAGCAACCCTAACCCTAAAGTAACATATAAACCACCTCCGTTTAAACGTCTCCCTTTTTTAGCTAAATAAGTGACTGTTCTGTTTCAGTTACACGTGACAACTGTCCATTTCCTACTAACACCCGGCGGATGAAATTTCCGAAAGTATTTGACTATTTGCAGAACAGTCTCTCTCATGTGTACGATACGTACCAAATCGATTCGAAACATAAGTTGAAAATACACTTACTAATTATAATCATCCATGAATTGTGATGACAAAAAAAAATCGGGGGAACTTGCCAATAAAGGATATTATCACCGGTGTTCATTTAATGTGGTACGTACAGCTATGGAATCCGCGGAACAATTACCGAATTTCAATCTTAGGAATAACCCAAATAGGCAACCATATTATGTAGAAAGGTTATAAAAATTGTTAAATATTCAAACATAATTAAAAAATTATTGGCAAAAGATCCGATAATGTATTATTAAATAATACATTACAATTCACTCAGTAACAATTTCCCATAAATAGTCCATATAATACAATGAAATGATAATTATAAAAAAAAAAAAAATTCATGATAACGGGGATAAGTGAACAAAACCAAAGCTTTTTATTTAATAGACAATAAATATAATTTTTTTTTTTACATTTCTCTTAAAGATTCACTTCAAATAAAACATATCTCAGCATGAATTTTTTAAATGTTAATATCGATGATGATGACCTTGATCCTACCATGGACTCACAGTATGTTAAAGGAATGATAGCAATATGCTCTTTTAGCACGCTGAGTAATATTGCTTGTATTATAATTCTTATATGTATAATAACACAAAAACATACGAGAAACACAACTGTCTCTCACTTGGTAACGAATCTGCTTTTGTCGGATTTTTTTCAAAGTATTGGCTTCATGATTAGTTATTATTGGATAAGTATTGGTATGATTAGAGAGGGAACGATTTGCGAGATACAAGGATTTCTGATCAATTTTGGTGACACATCTTCAGGTAATTTTACCTTACGCCACGACATACTTTAAATAATCTGTTTCGATACCAGAAATGATCCATAATTTTATTTATATTAGCTTCATGGACGCTTGTGATCAGTTTTCATACCTATGCACTCGTCGTCCACAATTACGAACACCCCAATATTGTCTTCGTGAGCATGTTGATAGTATGGACTCTTAATTTAATGATTTCTCTCGCTGGCTTTATCGTCCAAACTCCAGATCATCATTTTTATGATACTGCTGGTGGGGCATGGTGTTGGATTTCAGATTATTATGATGACTATAGAATTGGTTTTCACTATGGTATCATATTGAGTGTTGCCGCACTGATGATCGTCATATATGCAATAATGCTTGCGATCTTATACAATCGACAACGGAGAATGACCGTACAAGAATCCAAAAAGATTTTGCAAAGTGTCAATAAGAAATTGGTTTGGTATCCATTGGCCTATATTCTTCTTGTAACACCATTAGCAGTTCGCAAGTATAATGATCATTTATTCTTCAACAATAAGTTGATACATTTTGTTTACCTATTCACTTTCTGTTTTAGAACGAATCTGTGCCATTGTCAACTACAATCCTCCATTTATATTGTAAGCATTATCTTAATTTTACGCGTTCTCGTTATCTTACAACTAATATTTCATTTTATATTTTCAACAGCCTAATTATCTCTGGATGTATCTTTACATGCGCTGGTTTAACAGACTCTATAATTTATGGAATTACACGTAATGTTGTATCTGTGAAATCAGTGATGCCAAAACTTCAACAAATTGCCGGAATACACAGTAAACCAAGTATATCTCGTAAAATATTAAATGACCCAGACTCTTTGAATTCGTTCTCTGCAAAAACCGATTTAGCTTCGTTTATATCAGTTACAAAAACTCGACAAATTAGAATTTCAATCATTGGAACAAGCGTTGGATCCAGTGTGCTAAACAATAATGATTTAGATGAAATAGATTTAGATGAAACAGATTTTGATAATCTAAAAACTTAATAAAGTGTACAATACACCTAACATACAGTATACTGTATATGTTTATATTTTTTGCATAATAAAATGAATGAATGAGTTCGTATTACTTGCTGACATGTTTATTTATTCCTATAGCCCTAACATGAGAAACAATCACTCTGCATTCATCTTAACTCTAACATAAAGATTATATTCTTGCATCGGTGAAATTGTAGGTGAACCAGTTGTGACTTGCCAGTTAACCATAAAGGAAGTCCTAGAGATGGATCGGTCCTGAAAAGACAGAATAAGGACCAGTCATTTAATTGGTCTCATCCTCGGTCTTGAGATCGGTTTTGTGAATAGTTTGCAGCTGTTTTCATAAATTTTGAGACACCTGAAAAGTTTTCCAATGACCAAATCAACAAGCTACCAAGTCGAAATCAATAAGTTACCGACCATTTCCCCGATGGCCGTTTCCTTGACAGCCCATTTACCTGACATCGCATAGGCATTGTTATTAGTTGTAGGTATACATTATTAGTAAATTATCTTGCGTAATGTCGGGTAAATGACCTGTCGGGAAAATTAGATACAACTGTTACCGACGTCGACCGAAATCTTTTCAATATGGTTCTGCAAATGCCGTTGAAACATAGTGCCGGCTACACCATGCCCAGCACTTGCAGAACCCTACTATTCAAGTGTCCCAGATTTATGGAAACAACTAATTAAAATTATTAAAAAAATATGTTTGATATAATTACTTATTTTCGATTAGTGATGGGATTCTTCAAAAATCCTGCGTGTGATCCGGGATAAACTTATGCAAATAAAAAATATGGTAAGATTATAATTAATCTCTGATCTCCGAATTAGAATATACTAAATCGATAAAAAAAAATCATAATGAAATTGATTAATCAAATAATTCGACTTCAAAGTTCAAATTGATTAATGATTAATAAAATAATTTTGACTTCAAATTTCAATTAATTATTTTTCAAATAATAATAAAGATGCATCTTCTCCACAAATATAATTGGTTTATTAGCGAGTAAGTATAAATTTAATGATTTTACATTTAAATGTTTTTATCTAATACAGCATAAAAATCACAAGTTTATTATTATTATATACTATATATAGTTTGTTAATAGACACTATTAGATTTAGAACTTATAAAATACACTGACTCCTATAATTATTGTTCCACCGCGTTTAAAATTTTTAGAGTGTGATATTTTGCGTTCTGTAAAACAAATAACTAATAAACTTCAATGAGGTAAAGCTCTTAACTTCCTTTATTCTAATGTTAGAATTTTGCAAAAAAATATTTATTATTTTTTTATATTTCCACAATCTTTGTGGAACAATAATTTTGGCACAAAACTAAAAAATTTTTTACATGAATTTTTTTTAAAATTTTTTTAATTAAAATTTTTTTTTTTTTTATTCTAAAATTTACTACCCAGTATACCTCACTTTAGCTTTGAGCATGTTCTTGATTCATTGTGACATCATGTCGATTAACTTAAAATATAATTATTATCAATTTAATTTCACACCTTTTGGATCTTATTTTACAAATCTATCTTGCTAGAAATATTACCAGGAAGTTGTCACAAATGACAATCAACTTTATCTTATAAATGCTTTATTGAATTTAGATTAGAGAAGTATGGTGGTCATGTCAAAATATTGATTTCTTTTTTATTCAACTAGTTGGTAGCTATATCTGACATATATTTGGGATTATTATTATATTGAAAAATAAAGTTGTTGTTTGTCAAATGACATGCTCACATCATCCCATTTAACTTATCTTTTAGTATTTTAATATATAGATTCTTATTCATGTTTTTTTCAATTTTACAATAGTTTTCAATACTATACTGTACATACTTATACAACTCTATACTATTACAAACTCTCACCATATTTCACTATTAAGCTTTATATATTGCATTAACAATAGCAAATTTGGATCTTTCCAACACTATTCTCCTCTATCTGACCAAAAATCTTAAACTTTGATTCATCTAAAAAAATCACCTTTTACCAATCTTTGATAATATTTTTTTGTAAATTCTCTTCATAGTTTTTTGGTCTGTGGTTGAAGTAAAGGTTTTTTTTTTTTTTTTTAGATTCAAAATCTTGTCTCTATAGTGCATGGAAAATTGTATTTGTAAAAATACAAACATTTTTATTGGATATTAATTTTTTTTGGGCCTGAATAGTATTTAAACATGTGTTTAATCTCAATTATCTGGCTATTATTTTTTTATAGCAGTTGGTAAGTATTCTGAAATGACCTGGCCTTGGTAAAATATTCAAGCAACCAGTTTGATTCTTTAAATATTTTATTCTTAGGACTGTACTATAGCTTACTTTTTCACAAAAAACAATAGTATAACTAGAGTAATCTTTTTTCAAGAAAGATAAAAATATGGTTTCTTTTTATTAAAATTAAAATTACTCTTATAGTTATAATAAGTTTGCTTGCATACTTACTATTACTAATTAAGTAAATATTTATATATTTTTGGTATTAATATATCATAAATGCATATTTTATTTTACTTATATAAATATACTATAATTATTGCATTATATGAAAAATATATAATCAGAGCTTTTCTAAAAAGCTGTATAATAGGTATTAACCAAAATTGGTTATATTAAAGTCTAAGCTGAAGGGTTTATATTACCTGAATTTGCCAATTATATAACTTATAGAAAGTGAGATATCATGATTTAAATAAATAAAAAAGTGAAACAATAATTATGATAGTTAGTGTAGTTTTAAAAAAAGTAATAAAAAATTTTACAATATTATCATAATTCTCAAATTAGTATAACCTCATAATTTTTGTGATGATGAAATAAGAAAAATTTCAGAGATTTTAAATTGTTTATTAATTCATATTTCTATTAGTTATATTTATATTTATTTAAAATTGGTAAAATTTTTAATTTACAGAATCCCTAATTTTCATATAATATTTTGATTTGCAGAGATTACTTTTTGCAAAGCCCAATAAATCTAATTATTTTCTTATAAATAAAAATTTCCAAAATTTTATATTAACTTTCACTATATTTAGTAATATATAAAATTAGCTATAGATTTGGCTAAATAAATTAGAAAATTTTATTTATATTAATAAATTAAAGTATTAAAAATATAATTTTTATAAAGTTACAAAATTAAATTTTTTGTTTATTACCTCTTTTTGCTATAGAGATTCTCAAATAATAATTTGCAAAACAATATTTTTGCAATAAAACTATTTATATTTAATAAGTTATAAAATTTTGCTTGAGCTTTTAAAAATAATTTTAAAAATTAAACTAACCATGTTAATATTAAGTAATAATTGCTTAATATTTAAAAAAATTTATTAATAATTAGAAATTTAATAATTCTAAATATAAAATTAATTGTTATTTTTAGCAATTATAGGCTTGTATTTAACTATATTTTTGATTTCCAGATTGTGATATGTAATACATAAGTTTGATAAATACAAGAGCTAAAATTTTTATTACTCTAAAGATTAATAATAAAATTAGAAATTTTTATAATAAAGTATATAGAATATACTGAGGCTACCCAGAATTATAACTTTCACATGACTAATATGATCTACAATATACACATGATTACTATTTAGCACATCGGTATCAAATTACTAACCATATTTGGTGTTATAGGCAGAAGTTCGCCTAATTGGTTAATTTTTGTAAATCTATCTGTA